CGGGGGGGGGGGGGGGGGGGGGAACAATTTTCTTTGAATTTTCCTTCCCTTTTCTTTCCCCTTACAATTCACAGGCACCAAACAGATATTTAGCATAGCGAATATATAATGGCCTCAATAAGAAAGTTTCATTCAAAACCCAAATTTTCAAAACAGAAACACAAGCCACCTCAACAACTGTACCACTGCCTAATCTGTCCAGATCTCTTCCTCCATTAAAATCTATTTTCATACTAAGGAAACCCAATTCACATTTTTCAATAAAAAAATAAAAGAGTATAAGAAATTTGTTTACACATCATTTGGCTGCAGAGAAAAAAGAGGGCAATACAATTATACATTTTGCGGAAATCGAGAAGAAAATCATGCAAGCTTCTCAAAAGATCATTCATCCAAAGTCCCAACAAAACATGCATGTGAATTATACATGTATATATATATATGTGTGTGTGTGTGTGTGTGTAGGTGTGCCCTAGGTGGAGAGGAGAGGGTAAAAAGGGGAAGTACCTAGCAGCCGGGGTTGGGGTTGGGGTTGGGGTTGGGGTTGGAGGTGGAGAAGATGATGATTTGGGGCCCAACAATGGATCCCCTGAAGAGCTTATTACCTCCTCCTTCATTCTCTTCTCTCTCTCTCTCTCTCTCTCGCTGTATCGTCTTGGAGCTGTGTTGTCTTGTTTCTCTCACTGATTATGATGGAGAGGAGAGAGTATATGCTCTGCACTGCACCCAATTCAACAAAAAAAACAAAACAAAACAAAACCAAAAAATAAAAATAAAAACTTGGAATCACGTGAATTGTGCGTGATATAAAGGGGTAATGTGGGATTGGTTTGGGATGTTCTAAAAAAGTGTATTTTTTGATTTATTAGCTTATATGGGTTGGGTTTGGGTTGAGTTTGATGTGATGTGTTAGAGAGATAATATAATTTAAATAACATGATGTGACTTAAATAGAATAGTGACTTTTTAACTTTTTGTATTATTTAATTTATGCCAAACTAACCCTAAAAGTTATCATTTTTTATATTTTTTATACATAAAAAATTTAAATTTTTAATTTTTAATCAAAGCATCATATGAGTTCTTTCGATCTTGCTTGATGACGACGTAGGAGTGTTTTTAAAAAAGGTCGTGCTACATCTCCTAATTTGGGGGAGCCCTAATCCCTCGAAAATTGAGACTAAGGCAAAATATCTATCTATCTATACTATTATAAAGTGAACACCTATTATGGTGTCCTGAAGCTTTACTCTCCTCATGCCATGCGGCAGTATTTTTTATTTTTTAAAAAAAAAGCAGTATTTTTTATTTTTTAAAAAAAAGTTAAACAAAGAGATGGGCAAGGCTTGAGCCCATGACCATGGGTTTAAGTACGAGGACTCATACCACTTAAGCTAAGTACACATTATAATATTAATTTCATTATTATTTTTTTTTATTCCTACTTATTTAAATTGCACACACATCGTGTGTGCCACCCACTAGTTCTAATAAAAATATATAAATAATCCCTCTGTTTAAGTACGAGGACTCATACCACTTAAGCTAAATACACATTATAATATTAATTTCATTATTAATTTTTTTTATTCCTACTTATTTAAATTGCACACACATCGTGTGTGCCACCCACTAGTATATATATATATATATATATCTCCAAAACGACGTCGTTTTGGGGATTAGGGGGGCTTTTTTAGGGTTCCAAATCATTTCCCTTTTAAAAAAATGATTAAAAATTATTTTTTAACTTTTTGATAAGAGAATAAAGTAGGTTAAAAACTGGTAAATAGATTTTAATTCACTTGTCAAGCTATACTTAGGCCAAGTTTGACATATTGCAAAAAAATTAAAAAGTCAAAAAATTACTCAAAAAGTTAAAAAGTTAATACTATTTACCAAAAGTCAACAATTACGGCTGCACAACTCTCAATCCTAATTTCCCTACAAATCAATTTTTACAATTTTTTATACACATTTTTTTCATAAAAAATCAAAAAGTTAACCAGAACATCCATATTTTCTTCCTCAATTTTTAATCTAAAAGATAAAAAGCGTACTTATTTTAAGACACTCCAAACAATCCTTTTGCTGTCACGCTACTTTATTAGGATTATCTCCAGAGTACAACTTTGTTTTTTTTTTTTTTTTTTGAAATTGAGGGTTAATTTAATTATAAATATTTAAAATAAATTAAAATATTAATAAAATAAAATTTTATATTCAAATAATAATTATTTTATTTTTTCTCTTACAAATGACAAAAAAAGTCAAAAATCTCAATTGAAATGAATTTTTTAACCCCAAGCCAAAAGAGTCAAAAAATTAATCCACTTTCCAAACAGAGGCGTCATTTATAATAATGTTTTTTTTTTCTTGGATAAATTATACATTTTAATGAGAGATTTATTAGAAATTTATTTTTGAAGTGTTTGTGTTTCAATTAATTCCTAATATATATATTTTTTATTTTTTTAACATTGCATCTATCAAATTCTAATTCTATTTTATGCATAATTTTATTCTTACAAATATTTTTTGAACAGTTAGTAATTTGGTGATGTAAACATTCATATTTTACAATGTGAATATTTACATTAATGGTGTGAACATTCACATTGACAGTATGAATGTTCACTGTCAATGTGAGGGGTATTTTGATAATTATATCACCCATAATATTTATTGGAATATAAAAAAATTAATTTAGATGTGAAATATAAGTAAGTGAAGAAAGATTTATAAATAAGTGTCCCTTTAATATTTGTAATTTAATTTAAATTTTGCTTTTAATTCTTAATATTTTAATGTGAATAATTTAATTATTATACTTTAAGTTAATTTCAATTCCGCATCTCACTTCAAATTACTTTTTTATTATGTGTAGATCTTAATATTTTAAAATTATTAATTTTAACATCTAATATGAACAAAATATCAAATTAAAATAATAAATCTTATTTGGTAAATTATTTTAGAAAATTGTTTTTGAAAGAAAAAATTTATTAAAAAAAAACATTTTAGGAAACACTTGTTTCTAAAATTTTCAAAAAAACAATAAGTGTATTTGGTTTGAATTTTTTGGATTAAATTTTTCAAAAATTGAGTTTTTTAGTTTTCGTATTTTTTTGTTTTTAGTGAATATTTTAACTTTTTTTTTATTTTTTTAGATGCACCTTACTTAGATGTATCTAAAAAGTAAAAAATTTGTAAAATAATATTTTAAAAAATTAATAAATACATAAAAATACAAAAAATATACTGAATTCTCATTTTTTTTTTTGTATTTTTGCTATTTAGTGAATTTTTAAAAGGTTTTTTTACAAATTTTTTACTTTTTAAGTATGTCTAAAAATTAAAAAAAATTGCTTAAAATATTAAAAAAATTCAATAAAAACAAAAAAATACAAAAAATAATAAAATAGAATTTTTTGAAAAATATTTTTAAAAAACTCTATCCAAACAAAGTGTCATTTTTGCGCACACAAAAAAAGTAATATATATTTCAGAAACAAACGACAAAAATATGAAGAATTTGGAAGTGTTTTCTAAAACAACAATGCTACGTACCTCAAATTTTGTGGCTCAAAAGTGGCTCAAATGGCCAAAACGACGTCGTTTTGAGTACAGAACAACATAAAAATGTTTTGGCCATTTGAGCCACTTTTGAGCCACAAAATTTGAGTTACGAGACATTTTCCTTTCTGAAATGTGTTTCTTATCACAAGGTTATATAAAAAAGTAAGTTGACGATGATATAAGACCTCGCTTGGAAATAATTTGCTAATCTTGTTATTTTTTAAATTTTGTATGTTTTAAGAATACAAAACAATTTGCCCTTCCAAAGTATCTAGTTTGGAAGCTCAACTTTCTAAACAAATCAGCTTTGTTTTAATTACCACAATAGTATCACGTCTAGGGGTGTCCACGGTTCGGTTTGGGACGGTTTATGGTCCGGTTTGAACCCGTCCGCATCTATACGGTTTGGAGAAAAGTCAACCTGCAACCTGTAGACACCCAATTTTTGACCGTCCTCAAGACTTGGACATCATCGTTTGAACACCCGATGATTATCCCTGTTCGTGTTCATCTTGAGTTCCCAGAGGTCTCGGCTACGTGCCCTGCCTCAGGATCTCTCGACTCGACTGTTTTGTGTCTGGTTTTGCACCAAACACTTATTGTTTTGCTTCTGAGGGTGGGAAATAGCTTGTAGGCCATCCCCACACCTCACCGGCCATGGCTTGAGGCCACCGGCCTTGTTTCCTTGCCACCAGCCATTGGTGATGGCCGGTCGGCACTATTGATGGTCGGCCGGCCACTGTTTCTGATCAATCGGCCACTTTTCCTGGCCGAGACCTTTTCTTGAGGGAGCTTGACCATTTTGAACCTTTTTTTAGCTTCTTGAAGAAACTTGAACCTTTTTAGCTTCTCCAAGAAGCTTGACCCTTTTTTAGCTTCTCCAAGAAGCTTGATCCTTTTTTAGCTTCTACAAGAAGCTTGAACCCTTCTAAGCTTCCAAGAGAAGCTTGCACCTTTTGCACCCTTGTTCTAGCTTCTACAAGAAGTTTGAACTCTTTGCTCCAAGCTTCTAAGAGAAGCTTGAACCCTTGTCTAGCTTCTCCAAGAAGCTTGGCCCTTTTGTCTAGCTTCTCCAAGAGCTTGGCCTTCTTGGCCCTTTTGCTCCAAGCTTCTAAGGGAAGCTTGACCCCCTTGACCCCTTTTTTTGTTAGCTTCTCTAAGAAGCTTGGCACCTTGTCTTGCTCTATAAATATAGAGCCTATCCTTCCATTCAAGAGGTTCCAAGAATTGGTCTAAGGCTCCATACATATATCTCTCTCCATATCTCCTTCATTTTAGCTCCAAATTGCTTGGTTCTTGGCTCCTTTGCACACCAACCCCTAGCCTAACACCTTCATCATCAACCTAAGGAGCTTGGAGGCCATTTTCAGAGGCTAAGGGACTGGTTTTTTGTCCAAGAAGCTGCTGGTTTCGTTGGTCTACAAGGGTGAGCCTTTAACCCTCTTTTATCCCCCATTTTTAGCCTATCTTGCTTTCTGTTTTGAACTTAGTGTATAATTGAAAAAAGTCTTTTTTTAGCTCCTTTTCAAGTTTGTTTAAGACCACTTTGGTGTTTGGGGTTGTTTGACCCCTCTTAGGCCTTGTTTGGCCTCATTTTTGTGCATTTTTAGTGAACTCCGGGACCACCTTGTTTGGGCCTCCTCACCACTGAAATCTTAAGAGATTTCAGTGGTGAGGATAGTGGTTTAAGGTCCTAAGAAGGAGAGGTGCATCCCCTCTCCTTGTTGTCTTGTTTGATGCCCTTTTTGGCCTTACAAAAGGGCCCATATTTGCACACTTCTTGAGCTTGGTTCAGGCATTTTTCAGTGGGTTTTAGGACCCCCATAAGCCATTTCCAGAGTCTTTTTGGTCTTGCTAAATGTCTATCTTGCATGTGCTTAATAACTCCTTGCATGGCCCTCTAAAGTAACTCATCATTTTTGCATGCCATGGTTGCATATCAGTGGTTATTTAGGCCTATTTTCACATATTTTATTCACTGATTTTTGATGGTTTGGTGAGATTCCATGTGCATCATATACTTGCCATGCAACCCATGTTTGCTAGTCAAAGTTGCATGCTATCTTAGCCCATCTTGCTAACATTTTTTGGCCATGCTTTGAACTGATTTCATGCATGTTTTGGACTGCCTTAGCACTGTTTTCA